AAATCTTAGATCCCCAAGGGATTTGAGAGCACTTGAGAGAAGTTCTCAAATCAAGTGATAGATCCACTCTTTCCCCTTCTTTGCACCAAAGGAATTCGTGATTTGAGCAAGTCTTGAGCTTTTTTCCCCATCGTTCTTGTTACTCTTGGAGGTTGGAGACTCCTAGGCGGTAGGAGTCTTTCGGAGAGGAATCGACTCTTGTGATTACCCCCGAAAAAGTTTGTGAGGGTTTGGAGACCACCCCAAGGTCTACCACTAGTGGTTGAGAAACGCCTCTATGGTGTTGTCTCAAAGGGAGAATAGGGTGAGCCTTCGTGGCGTTTGTGTGCCTTCGTGGTAACATCCACCTCTCTAACGGTGACGTAGCTTCCCTCCAAGGAAGTGAACATCGGCATACATCCTCGTCTCCCAGAGTTGCGGTTATTCCTAACCCTAACTCTCTACTTGTGGTTACTTGTCTCTTAGCACTTACTTGTATCATATTGTGCTTGCTTACTTACATACTTGTGTTACTTGTTTATCCAGCTTAGCTCCTTGTACTACTCTTGCAATTGTTAGGTTCATCTTCATATTCCGCATTATTGCCTAAAATTGCTAAGTAATAATTAAAATTTGTATTTGTACCTATTCACCCCCCCCCCTCTAGGTTCATCTCGATCCTTTCACACGTGATGTGGGGTCAACGCCACTCCCCATCTGAAGGGCTCCCTACAATAATGATACAAGTTCGTCGTCCTCCGTGACCTAATTACTAGCTTAGCATGTTAGCTTATTTCGGTCACGCCAATATGGGTAGGACGAGGGAGGCGGTCGGGTTGTGCCTATGAGTATTCTGTTGTGCTTGAGATGTGTGATGTACCACGACGATCTCTGCGCAAGTTCTGTGATGGTTACTAAAACTAACAAAGCCCACGCGACAACACACACATTCAAGGGAGCAAAGTTTGGACATTTGAGAGAGCAGACGTTGTCCTGATCGTGATGCCAAAGAGTTGCTAACACATCTTCCATTTGAAAGGTCATATTATCCCCTAAGTGATTTTGGTGTTAATGACAACATAATTGGTGTTCTATTTATGTTCTTTAGTCTCTACATAGTGTTATGTCATGTTCAAAGACAAGCACACATGGATGGAGCCCCTCCATTCTTAAAAGAAGAAAAGAGGCGGCATCTTATCGGTTATGTCTTATTTGAGTCGATAGGAAATTCGTAATATAAAGAGGGGTTGCACCATGGAGATATGCATGGTGGGATTCAAATCACGTAGACTAACAAATTGCACCCATCAAATACCCCCGATGCTTAAAAGAGAGCCCCCAAGTTGTGATTATCATTCCTAAGAAAAGGCAGCTCGGGCCATCTGGGGCCTGGTCCCTCTGACTAGCTTCCGGGGTAGACAGAAAGTCTGCAACTTGATTGTACACTCTTTGTCAACTCTAGAACCTACCTGAAGCCTCTAGGGTACATCCGACCAGGTTTTGAGGCGAACGGTGAGTGTGTTGCATATTCTTGGTTAACTCCGGAACCTACCCGTAAGGTGCTCGGAGCCTTCGGGGCATGCAATTTTGGGCATAATGGCTGGAACCGGGGGGTGTTTAAATTGCCTTCTTCCCCCACAAAGAAGGTGATGATACTCTCTCCCCCCACCGATACAATCTCAAATTTCATGGAGATCTCACTCACTAGCCATCCAAACTTGTAGACCTTATAGGGAGAGCAAGAGGAGACCCCACTCTGCACTTTCACGCAAGCAAATTTGAAACCCCTTGATCCTAGGTGGATCTTGTTAGTCTTGGTGTTGTTGGGTACTCCTACTTGGTTGGAGTCCTTCTAGAAGTTTCATTATTGTGGTGTGCTCTGGAGAATTTTCTAAAGATTTGAGGCTCATATGTTGGGGGTGACTGGCCCACTTGGTGACGTTTGGGAAGTTTTGGCTGTTGCACCTCTCCAACAGAGATTAGCACTCCCCAAGAGTGTGAACTTCGAGATAAATATTCGTCTCCGAGCTTGTGGTTCATCCTTTATGCGCCTTTAGTTCTATTGCTTGCTAGCTACCTTGTTACTCTTGCTTTTCTTGTTGTTTACTAGATCTTTGCATCATATAAGTTGTTCACACCTTAGATTACATTTCTAGAGGACTTATTTTATCTGCATTGCGTTGTGGTACACTACATGTATGTAGCTAGACTCAAACGCTTGCATCATCCCCAACACGTGGACACACTCACGTACAGCAAGGTGTGCATGGTCTACTCGATTGGTTGCACATGGCCCATAGTTCTTTTACACATCCCCATGGTGTCCCCATGCCTACCTATGCCTTCATTCACCACAAAATTCACCTTCGTAAAGCCCTTACGCAGAGCGCGTGAATTTTCTCACCCACACAACTTTTACATTTGTTCGCTCTAGTCCACCACAGATGAGACCACTGGTCGTCCTTTCGCGCCCATGGCACCTCGAGATATTCAAGTTACGCCTAAGAAAGAGGAACTTCAAGATGCAACGACACTGGATTGGACAACACACTCCCTCCCAAACTTATTAGCCACCTTACAACTCGTAACCACCGACGATGTTGACACCTACATCGATATGCAGTGCGTCTACATAGCTTAGAGGGACATGTCAACAACGTCGTACCTGGATGATGATAACAATGAGACACCAGGGTATGAAAACAACCACCTTTTTGTTGACTTGTCCACCAGATGCTTAGCCCGCAGACACTACTTAGCACTCAATGGTCACACATTCTATAAGAAAGAGTCCAATGGAAGTGAAGGTAGGACCACTCTCTCAACCCACTCACACCTCACAACGTATACTTCGCTTCCAATGACAATTGATCAAACCAACCCACATTCTGGTGCAGCACATAATCAACTTAGCTGGTGGCAGTAGGTTAACCCAAATGATAAGTGTCACACGTGTGACACGAAGCAATACTGTCCAAACACCCTTATTACCATCCATTTTGCCACATCAAACAGATGATATCAGCAGAATCTTTTTGGTTTTTTGGACTTAATTTTTTATCTCTAAATAAAAAATCTGATTAAAAATCGTTTTCATCATTAAATCCGTCTCGATGAGATCTTCAAAACTAGATCCCATATTTATATGTTTCGACGACTTTTTTGGGCCAAAAGTTGCCATGATGTTACGCTGAAGTTGCTGTAGTGTTTACACTAAAGTTCCCATGATATGTTTCGTCTATTTTTTCTTCTAGATTTAAAGCTATCATTGTATTTAAACTACTTTTCACGGTAAATTTTATTAATTGACCATGGAAATTTTTAGTAATTAACCACATGAAATTTGATTCATGGATCCATGGCAATTTTTAGTAATTCATCATGGCAAACTTAGTTTATAGATCATGGCAATTTTAGTATGTTGACCATGGCAATTATAGTATTTAACCATGAAAATTATATTTTGTATGAACCATGGCAATGTTTAGTGCATGTATTATGGCAAATTTAAGTAATTCACCATGGCAATTGTAGTTTCTGATTCATGGTAAATTTGAGTCATTGACCATTCATTTGTTAAATAATTGACGACGGATTTCTTTTTAATTATGAACCATGTCAAAATTATTTCATGGATCACTGCAAATTTTAGTAATTCATTATGGCAAGTTTAGTTTCTTAATTCCCTTTATAACATGTCAAAATTTACTTTAAACGTGGAAGAAAAAGTAGTTGAAACATATCATAACAACTTTAGTGTAAACACCATGGCAAATTATGTGCAATAGATATGCCAACTTTTGACCGCCAAAAGATATCATCGAAACCTACCGATATCGGATCTAGTTTTGAAGTACTCGTCGCGGTGGATTTAATGGTGAAAATGGATTTTCAATCCGATTTTTCATTTAAGAGATAAAACACTTTAAAGTTTGAAAAACACAAAAAAAATCCACTGACATCATCTGTTTTCGTCCTTGTTTGCAAGCATGCGTGGAAGAAACAAAAAAGCTGACGTGTCACAATGGGTGGCTAGAAGGGCGTTCGGCCCCGACCTCTTTCAGCCCACACATGGCAATTATCAGCGTCCTAGGTTAATCCCCTAGAACTTCCAAAATTAGTTAGGGTTAAGGTTTACTATGTAGGATCTGATTTAAGTTTTGGATGCTAAACTCTTGCTGCTAAAGCACCTTGGTTTAGAAAGATTTCAGCACTTAGCTATAGTTAGGGTTTAGTATGTACTAGCATCTGGCATATGCCAAGCTAGTTCATGTGGTTCGCACTGCCACAGAGTGGAGTTCAAAGGACAAGAACCCTAATGTATGGCTGTATGTCTGTCAGATTATGCAAATAACTGATTCAGTCAGTCTTTCATTTGATAAGAACTACAAGTGAGGTATCTGGAAGATATATAAAAGAACAAGACGAACACCAGAAAAATCCAGCAGAACTGGAACAACATGCTCTTTATCAAGGATTCCATCTATCAGAGCACCAGTAATCTATCTGATATACAAATACCTTGTTTTCTTTTAGTTTCTGATACATAATAAACCTTGTTACATATGACTGTCAAAAAAAATGTTACAGATATGAGAATCAGTAAGCGAGCAACTGGATTGTGATAAATTTCAGATAATAAGGAAGCACTGGAATGATGATAAATTTAGTATTCAAAGTATGTCGCTACAAAACCATGAGATTTATGGATGCAACACATTTACAACAGTAGTACAGTATACATTTCGAAAACCTAGGGATGGCACCAAGGACAAGGAGGGTCTCTGAAACAACTGGTTAGAACATTTGTATTTAAATGCAACATGAAACATGATGTGGGCAACTCCATCCTTTGCAGGCCAGGAAACCGGTCAGCAGCTAGTGGCCAAGGTCATCATTTGGTTCCCAGTTCCTTTCACCTTCAACAACAAATCTAGTTTCAACAACACAATATCCCACGGCCCATGAGGAGCTTCTTGCACAGGTCAGCAATGCTTGAGATTACAGCAAACAGTAGCTTATCAGATTGACACTGCTAGATCTGTCAACTGAACCCATCCAAAAGCACATCTGCGGATTTTCTGAATCTCCAGAAATGCCGAGCTTATGGTTTGGTTTAATACTGCAAACTCTTTCTCGAAAGGAAGCCGCATCTTATGGTCCAACTGCATCCAAAAATCTGTACATCAACTATGGCATTCACAAAGGAAAAGAAAAAATAGCAATTGGGTTAGTCTAACCTTATCAAGACACTGGGTTGCATCAAGTACATAGCAAAAGTAGGACAATTGCCTGTATAGATCTGCTTCTGTGTACTGTCAGTGCAAAGAATCGGTATCAGTCGCCATCAAAGAACAAATAAGCACATTGTAAACTTAAGCCCGTATCAACAAACCTGTCTTACTAAACGGCCGTTGCATTGTGGATAGTTCGGGCAGATGGTTCCTCTCTCAGAATCCCCCATCACTCTAAGGTTCACAATGTGAGTCGAATATTTGCAACCCTCGTCATCACACTGGAAAGAAATAGGCCGAAAGCAAAGGTTCTTACATGTAGACAGGGACCCAAGGGCAAAAGAATTTGAAATGCCAATCGAAGTGGAAACTATACTTACCATCAGTAAACCTTTATAATACTGATTGATGAAATTATCAGCCTGTCTTTTTATCTGGCATGGAAAAAAAATCAATTTCAGTTCAGCAATCTGAATGCTAGATCATATTACATGAAGTGGTATTAACCTGGTTGGCAAGCACAGCAGGAGAAACTCTGCACTCATCAGTATCATCTGGACATCTTGGGCATCGAATCCGACGCCAGAAATTCACAGTAGCATCTTTTCCTTCATTTGTATCTGATAAACTAGAAATCAGACTGGATACAGGGGGACACTCGAAGGTACTGGTACAGCTTGGGCATGATAGGCGTATCGGCTCACAGCCACAATATCTGCAAGTATTACTCATGATATTTTTAGTTGGAAGTTCCCGACTGCACGAATCAAAGCGAAATAGGTATATTATATGTTTACCTCTCTTCTTCATCATCAGTTACAGATAAGAGCATGCTAGACATATCTTTGTTGCTAGACCCGGTCGATCTTGATTGGAACTGATTCCAAGGATTTAGAAGGATCAAAAACGCATGATAGCAAAAATTCAGTTAGATAGTTAACCATGAATCAAGAGCGGATGCACACCTTGGAGGAATCAAGTCCAAGACATTCAGCCAGTCGGGCTGGGCTAGTACCCTCAATTGAAGCACACAGGCGAGAAACCACAGGATGAATCTGTAAAAGCAATTTATAATAAAAAATACAGTACAGACAAATGTAGCATACAAGAACTATATGTTTTCTACATGCAAAGGAGGACCTGCTGTGACAAATAATACTCGATGTCAATCATCCACTTGTTGGGGTCTCGTGTTAACTCATCCGGATGCCTAGCTCTTTGAGCAACTCCCCCAGAATGTGTATTATCTGAATCCTGTTTGGAATAGTCAAAGAAAGTTAGAATTGCCTCTTAATAGTCACATAAATTTTAAGGTCTGATTAGAATATTTCAAACAAAGCTAAAAACAGATATCCCCAAAACATTCTTGCGGCAGGATTACATTTTTAAAATTAAGATAATTTCAGACAAACAGATATTCCCTTGTTGAGTTATCATTGCGTTTAAAGCAGAGGTTAACAATAACAGCACAGTAAGCGAACCCAGCACCAAATAGTACTTAGGGATGCAAGAAAGAAAATGCAATACCTGTTGTGAGCAAATAATATAAGGAACTGTATCACCTGCAGAGCATCCAGATAAACCATTTTGCTTCAGTCTTAAAGCAATCTGAAAAATCCAACACAATCAAAGGAAGACAACACTTAGCTCAGCTCATCAGTTTCCCATTAATCTCATAAACCATGACGAAAAGAAATAAAACAGGTAAATCTTACCTGGACATGAGGCTGGTTTTTAGCATCTGGATAATCTTCTGGCGCTTTCGTTAGACTCTTTGTGATGATATATTTTTCAAGCTCTATTTCACCACTTTTCATCTGTGCTTTGACCTGCAACAATACTCATATTCAGTCAATCGTATATTATTACACTAACAAATATAGCACCGATGCAAAACTTTAGTGCGGAGCAGTAGCAACCAAAGTTAATGCCCCTCTCAGAAAATATGGAAAAGGAAAACTTAAAAGATGAGAATATGTTGTAAGCTACTCACCTGGACGAGAGAATTATGTATTGACTCAACAACATCATCACATGTCCTGTAGAAACAGTTTTAACATGGATGAGATAAAAGAGAATGTCACGAGCAAAATTAACGGCAACTAAAACACTTACCCTCCAGACAAAATTTGATTCAGGCAAAAATCAGCAATTTCTTTTGACAGCAAACTCCAATCACGCCTGACCATATCAAGTCCCTTGCGCTCAGTGTTCTGTATCAAGCATGTTAGAATAGATCTCCTAGTTTTGCTAGATCAATATAAAGTTGGAAGAAGCACACACCTCTAATAAACTGCCATCTAGTGCCACTTTAATAGCAGCATATTTCTTCTTTTTGAGAAGCAACATTCTTTTGTATACACCATCAAGATCAATCTCCAGACAACGGTACTTCTTGTTCACCTGCATAAAGCAGTTGTGGCAAGATGATGTTTTTGTGTTGCTCATAGATCATAGTTTAATATCCAACGCTGCGATTTTAATATCGAAGTCCTACCTCCTGAGTGACCTTTCCAGCAATTGCCTTTGCCTTGGAGATGTCATCCAGTCCAGTATATATCATTATGGAGTCCGTGTCACCATAAATAACCTGTCCAGTGAAATGAAAAGAAATATCAACATGGCCAATTTCTTCATAAAGAAAGTTGGTGAATCTTGTTATAAAGAAGGTCCTTTGGATATCTTAGAAAGGTCAGCAATATACATACCTCCAAGTTTAAATTATTTTGAACCAGATCAACAGTGTTTTGTAAGATCTCTCTACCCTGCAGGGTCATCATGATGTATATCAGTCACCACAAAGATAGTTGTACATGTTTGTAAATTACTTTTCAAGGAGAGAAAGTATGTTCTCACTTGCAGGGTAATAAGCTCGGCAAGTGGCTTTGCAAAAAACCTAGAACTAGAAAAGCCCAAGCAACCGTACATACTGGAGAATGAAAGATAAGTTAGAGCCCATCGACCATACTGGACGAATGCAAGGAATTACTAATGCTTGTGACAAGTATTTTTTTACCTGTTTGCGGTAAGCTTCAAAGCTTGCTGTTGAATATCAAACTGCTGCCTTTTGAGACCAGAGGCGGTTTTGAGCCATGATTTAACCATTCTTCTCCTCTCCACCAAACTCTTCAACAGCTGTTTCATTAGTGATGATTGCAAACACATGTTAGAACAAAATTATGCCCTGACGAGAAGCTACTTTTCATCTATAACTGAAGCACAAAGAAAAGTAAAGACAGGACAAGGAATATTGTGTGTTATTGTATTACTTGTACACTAAAATGACCAGAAGAATATGTCTCAGTAGTCTATTCCAGAACCAAGGTTTGTCAATTCTCATAGCATTTAAAATTGGTAAGAAGGGAATATTTTTTTTCTCCAGCTTAGTTACAAAGATCGGATACAGTTAAGTATATAGTCACTTGTAAGCTCGAATCACAGTAAACAAGTTTACGAAATTCCAATGTCCTTACCAAAAGCATGAACAGGTGTGGAGGCCAAGCAGGAATAGCATATTTTATTTCTGTAATCGCAACTCTGATTATTAATTACAAGTTTCTCAGAAATGAGATGAAAGCAAAAAAAAAATTGGTTATATTCTTGGTGGCAAAGTTCCAAAGCAATATGGGTGTTACGGTTACCCATAGGGTATCCCACCTATAGCATTCTTGGAGGGAGTATGTTGTTACCCAGCTAGCGGCTCAATTTTTTGCAAAACAGTGTTCGTCCCATTCCCCCAAGTACAGAAAAACTCCAGATCCGAATAAAGCACATGTATGTAAGTACCTCAGGCAAAACACCAGTAGCCTTTGAAGTTGGAAGGTTAGGGAGATTGCCATCAGAAGAACGCTCAACAGTGGTGAAGCAGATATTGAATTCCTGAGTGGAGAAGAGAATAAAAGAAACAGCGAATATATATATATATATATATATATATATATATATATATATATATATATATATATATATCAAGGGCATCGCTTAACAGTTGACTTGCGGAGAATAAGCCAGAACTTACCGAATCTGTGAAAAATAATGACTCACCTGAATTATTGAAGGATAAAGACTGTTGAAGTCCAGAAGTAGAATATACTTGTCGTATAGACCTTTTTTAGGCTCCAAAACCAAACCACCAGCATATGAAGAGCCTTTTCTTGCTTTGCCTTGACCACCATTATGCACCTCATCATCAATGGTAGGATCAGCAGCGTTTCCACCTTTGGTATCAGCATTAAGTTTTCGTTTTGCAGAGTTCAGCTCCTTGTTGCGTGCAGCAAACTTATCTGGTACAATGAATTTTTTTTGAATGGAATGAATGCAACAGTAGGTATTCTACCCTCTGAGCTCTAGCACCCTGCGTCCATTTCAAGTGAGAAATCATGTCAACACAACATTGTTTTTTGTCCTTTTTTCAAAGAAGACTGCATTTGTTGCAGATGTATACTTTGCATAAAAATAATGATGCTTTACCTGGAGAGTTTTTCCCCACAGATTACCGCTAATATTTGTCAGTTGGCCTGTAAGCCGGAGAACACTCAAGTGGAACATGAGCTCCAAAGAAAGACATGCGTCAGTCTCACCGTACTCAACCTAGATGAGGATGATAAATTGGTGAAGATTGCTTCAGTTCATAATTCTTAAGACATGGCATTCTCTTGAAAGAAGTAAGCATGATTTTTGAATTTAAAGAAACCACACCAGCTTTAGAAGCGTTCCCGATGATTGGAACATTGGAGGTATATCATGTGGTGAAACCTCTCTTCTGTCTTTTTTCAATTGCGTCTCTGCAAGTTGTGTCAGAGAATAATTCACCTGTGTAAATAAAAAGGTTAGAATTGTTGAATTTGGCTTTAAGGTTGCACCAAGCAATTAAAATGCTGGTTACCTCCCGCAGAAGATCACGAGAGCATAAGTAGGTGTCACAGAGGAGACGGCCAGCAATGCAGGACATAATTCCTGGACTTGCCCCAGAACCATATAGTGTGTTTCCTTTGGTAAGCCTGGGCATTACTGATCTTCTAAGGCGACCAATTTTGGACCACATGCTGCTTGGTACTTTGCAGGTCTAGCAGAAAAACGCAATAGACATGTTTCTTATTTGATTGAATTAAAACATAATGTATACTTTGTAATTAAAACATGAGGTATACTTTGTAATCAAAACATGAGGTACCAAGATTAATCAGAAATATAATTATAAAAACCTGAGCACGGTGCAGAAGGACATCCAGGTTGAATCCCGAAATGTTGTGCCCCACAAGTACATCACGATCAAGTTTACTAAGCTCAATCATCAAGCGATTTAACAAAGCACGTTCACTGTAAATGGAAAAAAAGATTAATAAATGCAAAGATGAGAACTCGGATTTGTTCAAAGGGAGATGTAAATGCATAAGTAACAACAGTACCCACCTGCTCTCTAGTGCCAGCACGTTCCTACCAGCCTTCTGGTTCCTATCAGAAGCTTCTTTGGCGAGGCCTATAGGAAATATGCTACCTTCAAGCTTGCGCATAACAGTAAAATGGCTGATCGTTCCCCGTTTCTGCCAATCTTCAGAACGCATTGGAGTATCAATCTGAAATGACCCCAAAAGGCAAACAACATTTATTTGGCAGAAAGTGTCTCTAGCTTATAAAATAATCTCAAAAATATGTAGACTCGATAATTGTTTCAGATAAACACAAAGTGCATCAGCTTGTCTAAAGAAGAACTGCTTCATATATTCAGAGACATGGAAGGTTCATTTGCTTGATACATCATTGCCAAGGTATGTATGTCAGCTTTTCCAGAAAATCTTGTTCCAGAAGACCAAGGATAATCATTTACCTGATACCTAACTGCTGAAGTATGTACAAACAAATACTAGAATAAAATACTTCAACCCCAGATTAGCATGCTTACTTTTACTTGGTGGCAGCATATGACTGATGCTGACACAATCTCATGCACGTTGTGTTTCTCATTTATGATAGTTTTAAGATTAACAGCCACAACTACAACTGGGGGGACTTCCAGTGTGGTACTTGTCACCAAAACAGAAATGTCTTTTGGGCATTCGACTGTAACTTCAAATTTACACCAGCTGACCTGTGGAAACGCCAAAAACCATCAGCACCAATATAATGCAACAAAAAATCAGGCAGGAGCTATGAGAGTATCAATAACTTAATTAGATATAAAACACAGCCTGGGATGAGAGGACAGCATGAAGTCAAGGGTATACTCGCTCAGTAGATGGACATGCCACAAATTTAGAAATCGATAACCATGAAGGACCCTTGATCTTCCTTTTGATGAGAAACAGTTCGAGTGCACTGAAAAGGTACAATGGTTACCGTGTGTGAGGAAAGGATTTGGCACGGAGAGTACAACACTGGAATTGTTGTGTATAGCATGGGTCACACATTTTATGGATCATACCTATTGTTTGTCCCAAGTAACACATGGAAATGTTTACCTCTAAGGTCAGCTGGTACCGCAGGATCCTAAGAAAATACATATGGTATAAGGAAAAAAAACAAAATATGAGACAGAAGATGCATTGTTCAAGAAACATACCTTGTATGGGTAATTGACTTTCAGGACATACTGCTCACCGATTGGTACATCAGTCCTCTCAAATGCATAGTTCCTCTAAGGCATGAGAAATATGAACAATTATCATCGACAAAGAATATTACAGAGGTTGAAGTTACAGGATGGTTTCACCTACAAACCTTGACTGGAGTCATCACAAAATTTGAAACATTGAGGTCAGACAACTTGTCAGCTATTTCACTCTTTAGTCCAGATGACAACTCCTGGAAAAAAGACATGCAGTGTGCATGTAAGATAAATATGATGCAATGAGCATTAAGCTTAGTATAAAAATAATCAATCTCTCACGTGTAAAGTTGCTCGAAGTGATGGCGAAGCATCAGAACTTGTGGAGTTCCTCTCTATCCTTGATATTGTGTCCCTTGGGAATACTGAACTGCTTGGGATTGCATATATGCACCTTTGCATATTTTTTACAACAACACAGCAACTATGGAAGCGTTTGCCTCTTACAACCTAGGAAGAAAAGCAGGTGGTCAAAAAAGAGTAGTGTGTATAACCTTAGAGCTGCAAACATGTAATAGCTGATAATCCAATAGAACACATAACTATTTAACAAAGTCGATGACTATTTCTGACATACTTGACCCTAGCAATATGTGGAGCTTTTAGAAAAACAATGACTACTTTATGGAAGTAATGATCTGTGCCACTATGGAATACATTCATTCATTCAGATACTAAAAAACATAAAGCACCACATAATTTATATAAATCAGCTATCCTACTAAGCTAAAGAATCACTTAGTTTGGTGCTGGTGAAATATTGTGCGAAGAAAACAAAGCACTTCAACAGATGTGGGCAACTAACCATATGTCTCTTATATGTGAAACTTAGTATGAATGGTATTTACCTTCCCAAACAAATAGACTGTGCCTGAATTGATACCAAAGGGCTCCTCATATGCATCCAGCACATAGAAGGGCAGGGCTCCATCCTTCAGCTCAAACTCCGAGCTTTCATCCACATCGGCGATATCATGAACAGACACCTCTCCCTCGCCTCCTGCATTCTCCCCATCCCCACATATCTTCATCCAGCCTGCTGTTGCACTCAACATATCACCATTCCTGGTGCCCTCTGCCTTAATCTTAGCGTTTAACCGGCGCACCTTCTCTACCTTCACTTCCCCATTAGCCTCCTGCTTCAGTTCCTCCGAGCTCTTATTCTCATCCACCAATTCAGCACTAGAGCCTGGAGCTGCTTCTAATTTGGGTTGCATTTCCACATCGGGCTTCAATTCCACGTCTGGATGCAATTCCACCTCCATATCGTTCCCATGGTCTGAAACCGCATCAGGCTCGAACCCATTATCCGATCTAACCTCCATTTCAGCATGTAAGGCTGCCTGGATTGCTTTAATTTGAGTAACTGGAGCAGGCGGCAGTGCCGGGGCGGAGACCCTACCAACACGACGACGGCGCTCCTCTCGGTCGTACTCGTCGGGGGCAAACTCGGCGATGACGTCGTCCACGATGCTGTCCGCGGCCAGCGACGAGTCCTTGGTGCGGTCGCTGCCCGGCTTCTTAAACATGGAGGAGGGGCGCTGCTTGCCCATCATCGCGGCGGCGGCGGAGAGGGCCGCGGCCGCGGCAAACTGCTGAGGTGGACGCTTCAGCTGGGGAGGGCACGGCTGCTTACGCTTGCGGGGGGAGCCATCCTCGCCGTCAGATCCTATAGGAAAAGACTACCATGAAATGAACCCATTTTAAAAAATTCACAAAATGCCCTTTCGCATGGCGCCCAGGGCACAATGCTAGACATCATCACGCCTTAGTCAAGGGCGTCATGCTAGTCAGCGCTCATTTGCCATGTTGGCAGAGCGTGGGACCGACGCCCCGGGCCAGGGCGCCATGCTCGGTAGCACAAAGCCCCAGCCCAGGGCGCCATGCGCTTGAATTAACAAAACGGCAAGCATCCTCTCTCCCCCCCCCTTCTCCACCCCGGCTGCCCCACTTATCCCCTCCCTAATGCCCACTAAATTTCGCGGATCAAAGCTCCAAATCGATGAATTATCCTCCCCTTCAACCCCTCAAGGTATTCTTCCTCATTTCTCCTATTTTTGTTGGTTGAAATGTCTGCATTGTGCCCAATTGGAGAAACCCTAGGTCATCCAATTTTACAATTTCCATTGATGCATTTTGGTGTTTATGTTTGTAGATGGCGAGGATCGTG